CGAATCAAAACAAACATAGTGTAGTACAAGAATTTCGACTAGAATGGTGTACGTTAATCGATTTTCTTGTGACCAATAGGCTAGTCAAGTAGTGAGCCAATTTACAATTGTTAGTTTTCATCGGTTGGCATTAAGCCGGGAGAAATGTTTAGTGGAATTTTTCCTGGATGATGGATCATTCTCATCATTCGTGAGCATATCAAATTGATTACTCAATTGAATTTCATCACAAAGGGGATCAAGAGATTGCCCTTTTCTTTTGCGGTTCTCCAAATCTACTTTCAAGCAGATTACTATAATAATCTGAAGGATCGAAGAGGAGTCCCAAATCGATATCGAAACAGGATTACTTCGGGTAGGGTTCAAACAAGGATTGAAGAGAAATACGAGTCGAACAAGTTAGAGTATTTGCTTCAGGTAGCAGTAATACTTCCTTCAGCAAAAATCAAATAGATCCGCACGGCAAGAGAGCACGACGTGGGCTTGATCTGGTTTCAAATGATTATTTCATAACATTCGGAGTCAGAGTCGGACTCGGAGTCGATACTTTTTCTTCGACTCAGACTCCGACTCCTTATGCTCAAAAATGCATCCGACTCCGACTTTACGACTCTGACTCCACATAAAAGTCTCCACAACCGCTCTGTAACTAGGGAGTGCTTCAAATCGACTAGTAATGGGTGATTAACTTATCAGTTGACCGATTAAGGGTTGTATAATTTACGGTTCGATGGCCTTTGGTTACACAATAAATCTCTAGTAGGAGGTGATACGGTCTGGAAGCCTTTGCTTTGATGGTAGTTTGCATTATCTGGAGTATCCAGCTTTTCACGATCGGTAATGGCGGCATGCATGGGTTTTAAAATGCATCGTAATGAAAGGTTTGGTATACTTTTTGACACTAACTGGTTATCACAAATCGTTTCATTTTCCTCTGTTCCTAGGAGAGGGAAAGGGCGAGGGAGACGACTATATCTGCGATGCAGGAAAGGTTTTGTTTTGGGGTGGTTAGCTGCGTGCACGCTAAGTAGATAGAAAGACGATTGATGGCGATTCTGAAGATTTCCTGCAAGTAGATGAGATTTGGATGTGACGTTGGCCTCGGGAAAAAAAAGGTGGAGTGAAAAGTCAAATCTCCAGTTAGTGTCAAAAACTTCAGTGAACGATGCATTTCAAAACCCATGTAGGCTGCCATAAAGCATTTTACGAGACGCTTCTAATTCCGGCGAACTTTAGGATTTGGGCGTAATTGCTTTTGTAAACAAACACGTCAATCGCTGACTGCTCGCGAATAAAAGCTCAATCTCGCAAACAAAAAATTTCAAATGATAGAGGAGTAATTCCTCTACCTGTTTGTGTTGTTAGTTTTTGAGATTGAGCTTTAATTCGCGAGAAATCGGTGATTGGCGTGTTTGTTTACAAAAGCAATTACGCCCTTATTTCGAAGTTCTCCGGAATTCAACGCATGAATGAACTTTGGCAGGAGGCGGTTGCCTAGAGGGTGTGAGGAGCAACATTAGTGTCATCCAATTCTGTCAGGCAAACTAGTAATCCTGTATGAATATATGTAGGGATTCGCGGAAATATTATCAGGCGATTTGGCAACGTGATTTGATTTGTTTTCAAAATCTGCCAGCACTTGCCACGGAGCAAAATGTGCGTGACTTGTCGTTATCGACGCTACGAGTTTGTTTACCTTGTTTAAATTCTCAGTGAACTGGTGATTGCAGCAGCTTGTAACAAAGTTAGGACCTGTCCCTAAATCACGTTGACAGATTTTGGGCATTTAAGACCATCCCGTTCTCGTCTTCCTGCAATGGCGGTTTATGCGCTGTCCCTTCTTAAACAGTTTGTATTGAAATTGGGTTGTTTAATATTGAATAATATTTCGGTTATTATGCATCATTTGAAAGGTCTTCGTTTTTGAGCACAACGAGATCATAAACTTTCATCTCGGTTTTTGTATTAAAATTTAATGCAACATAATAAGTTTGCTTTTTGACACAAACACTAACAAAATTGACAGCTTGGTCCCATCCAAAGTACAGCCGAGGGGGGCTAAGATGGTGGTTTTTTGCTAATGTAATCGGATAGATCCGTTGCACCGAAATTGAGGAAAGTTTGGATTTCGATTTCATTTCGAATGCAGATTACGAATAAGCAATATCCGCAATACCCCAGAGAGAACCCAATTCTTACATAAACAATACGAATTTCTTCAAATTGATCTTTATCTATAGACTTCTCTGACGTTTGTTAATTGCACAAGTATTAGTGCAGAACTTTGGGTAAATTCAAAGGTTTTCTTGCACTAATACTTATAATTTACCCCGAGTTCTGCACTAATACTTGTGCATTTCACAAACGTCAGAGAAGTCTATGATTGATGATCCCTTCTATAGACTTCACTGACGTTTGTGAAATGCGCAAGTATGAGTGCAGAACTCGGGGTAAATTGTAAGTATTATTGTAAGAAAACCATTGAATTTACCCAAAGTTCTGCACTAATACTTGTGCAATTCACAAACGTCAGAGAGGTCTATATCGATTTCTGCTTTTGTAAACAAACATTCAAACGTCAATTTGTCAAACTCTTAAGGGTCACCCAAATTAGATCCGTTTGCGTTGCGTTGACGTAAATTTGACAGTTATAGACAATAGATTTAGCTGTCACTTTGCCGCAACGCGTCCAATCCGGATCTAATGTGCGTGGGCCTTTAGGGTAAAGATGCAGGAACTTGCAATTTTCATGGAACTGTGGGAAATCCCTATATAATTTCATATATGTTCCGAAAACTAGAAATTGCACGATCTTCAGAAATTTCAGGATGATTACCGGGACATAAGGCAAGTTCCAAAAGCTTGAGGGAAGTTCAAGGAGATGACTGATTTTGAAGAACGAAGAGAGGAAAGTTCAGATCTTTAGTGTGGTATCAATAACTTCAGGGATGCTTCGAATTTTTTAAGGAAAGTCTGTTGTTTTAAGTTGTTGAAAGCTTCTATAAATTCAGGGCAATTCCATGCATTTCAATATCATTTCTAGAACTTCAAATCTGTTCCGCGTCGAATGACGAACGCTTCTTTGAAGTACGCTGGCCTTCTGTGAAGTTTTCTTAACTTCTTTGGAGTTCTTTGGAGTTTTCTGAAATTATCAGGACTTTCCTATGGTTTGTATTCCAGAAATTCTCAATCCAAATAATTTTCGTGGATCCAAGATTGTCACTAAAGAGCCGTTCCAGGCTAAATAACAAAAATAAGTTCAATTTCAGACTCGACCTTCTCCGATTTGCATGAAACTTTGCATAATTGTTTGTGATGGCCAATCATTTACATTTGAGCTAAAATGCGGCCATTTTGAATCTCATAATAAAAATCCAAAATGGCGTATTTGACATTTTTTAACAAATATTAACTAAGAAACGTCACTTTTAATTTAGTAACGTTTCATGCAAATCGGAGATGGTCGAGTCTGAAAGTCAACTTATTTTTGCTATTTAGTCTGGAACGGCCCTTCAGTAACAATCTTGGATCCGCGAAAATTATTTGGATTTAGAATTTCTGGAATACAAACCATAGGAAAGTCCTGATAATTTCAGAAAACTCCAAAGAACTCCAAAGAAGTTAAGAAAACTTCACAGAAGGCCAGCGTACTTCAAAGAAGTTCCGAGAATTCCAGTTAAGTTCCGAGAACATCTAGTAAAATGTGGAAACGTCAGGAAAATCCAAAGAAGTTCAACAAAGTTTGGAGATTTTTGTTGGAAAATTCCGTTAGCATACTTCACGAAAGATCAAAGAACTTTAAGACAGTTCGATTAAGCTCAGTAAAATTATGGCAACTGTTATGGAGCTCTATGGAATTTCTGAAAGCTCAGAAAGTTTCTAGGAAGTCCAGAGAACTTCAGGGATGTTGAAAGGATCTCAGGGAAATCCAGAAAGCTTAGAAAAGTCGCTAAAAATTCACAAAAGCTTAATTTGTTTGACAGAAGGTACGTGCATTTCGGGGCAGTACCGAAAATTTCTGGAAATTCACGGGAGTCCAATCAATGAACATCTGCAAGGATTTGGGAGAAGTTTCGATAACTTTAGGAAAATTCTAGATAGAGCTGGAATTAGGGCGTAACAGCTTTTGTAAATAATTACTTCTCTTGATGATTTCTAGACAGTCAAGGCTCGTGTACGCAAATCAACATCCCCATCGGGTAGGGGAAGACTTCCTCTACTCGATGGGGATGTTGGTTTGCGTGGGCGTGCATTGAGTTCCTAGAAAACATCGAGAGAAGCCATTGTTTACAACAGCTGTTACGGCCTAGTTCCAGCTCTATCTAGAATTCTCAGTAGTTGGCGTGGCGTTGCCACGTAAAGCATCCATGTCTGGATAGAACAGCGCTTTGAGGTTTGGCTTAACAAGGTTAGGGTCTGGAGTTCTTAAAAATCGATAGCTACCGAAAGAGATAAAAATACATAGGGAAATGAATACAATCACATCGAGTTAGGGAGGCAGCGATGCTTGTAGAATATCGAGAAAGGAAGAGTTGACTGTAGTTAGAACCAAGTCTACTTCGGTAAGACATCTTGTTGTCATTTGTGACAACTTTTAAACTTGCCGTTTCCGATCCACATTACGTTTGGGTCCTTACGGAGGTGGTTTTTGTAAAATAAGTATGGAAAATGTAATCAAAGCAGCCTCAATTGCAATCAAATTACTCAAAATGACTTGACAGTGCGTGTTAAGAAAAAAATATTTGAAAATGTGTAACACATGGGGGATGAAAAGTGGATGAAGAGCACCGCATGACAGCTTGAAACAGATAGAAAAGCACTTTAGAGTTCGTTTTTTGGGCGTTCCTTCAACCAGCAAGGAGCATGATCCAAAAGCAACCACAAGATCAACAAGAATTCGAGTGAAGCTTTAACATTGAAGAAAATAAAACGTGGGAATCATTCCCTTTCCACCTAGATGAGACAGGTGATCAGATCTATAAATCACAAACGCACGGTACCTCTGCTGGTGGCAATCTTGAGTTTTTGCAATCCGTCCGAGTCACTTGCTTCCATCTCTTCAAAATTGAAATCAATCACTCGCGAGCACTTCAAAGACGTGAGGGGGTGGTTTTAGAATTTTCACTATCGATATTTTTGGTTAAGGAAAATCTGCTTTTTTTTTTGGGGGATGAATTTTCACCTAAACCGACCGGTTGACAGTTTTTGACCGCAATGAGCGAAACTCTGCGATCATGGTCAACTGTGATGGTGGAAAATGCTGAACACGTGTGGCTGCTTCGATATTTATCTCTATGCTGCGCAATGAAACGATGGTAATATTTATGATTATGATGTAGGTAGAGCCGAAGATTTAAAATTGCTGCCATGGAAGGGACAGACTGGAAGACTGCCAGTGTTTCGCCTCGCATGAATTGCATTTTGAGGTTGTATTTATAACCGTGCACATGACTGGGCATTTCTTCCGGGTTGCGGCAAAGTTTTGGCCTCCATCCAGAGAGCGATACAATGTGGACAACTTTGTGTGTTGTAGATTTTGGGGAGGGCATCCATAGTGAATATTTTATGCTACTCGCAGTGGGAGTAAAAGTCATACGATTTTTCGTATCACCGATCGACTTCCGCCTATCGATTGATTGCTTTCCAACTGATAATTCGATCTGAAATTGCTTCTGTTTGGCACTCAGCAGCACTCATTTTCCCCACGGCCACCAACACAGCCATGCGATCGGCACAAACCGGCTCAATTGGTATTGGTGAAACCGAGTCAGGACCTTTCACACCCCACAAATCCCAACCACCCACCGGGACCGGGCCCACCCCGCCCAACCACGGATTCGGAAAAACCCCGTCTAGACGTCTCGCACACGAACACTCTCTCAGCACAGGCAATGGGGACGGATAATGCAGCAAAACGCAGACAGACGGAGAGAAGGGGTTTCCAAGGAAAATCCGGCGAAAAACAGCGTAGACAAAATCAATATTTTTAGCTACCGGTCGCTGTCGTCGTTGTCGAAGTTATTGTTGATGTTGTAGGCGGGTGGTGTGTGCTTCCTGTTCCGATAGGAACAGGCATCTGAGGGAATTGATTTGTTGTTAAAAGTCGCTGGCTCGCTCACTTGTCACGAGGGTGCTTTTGAGGCCGCGTGTAAATTTGGTTCCCAACGTCGTCGACGATGACGACGAGGACGACAAGCCATCAATGCCATTTGTGTTAGGGGTAGGTTATGGGGCTGACGTCGCTAGTGCTCTCTCGCTCACTCGCTTCAACTCCGGTTCCGGTTTGGGTAAGGCTCTGTCTGGAAGTCGGTTTTCCTTGGGGGACGGTTTGGGGAAGGGGGACTACTGACAGGATACATTTATTTTAAATCGGAAACGTGCGGAATGGGATTGACGGGAATTCTGGTGGGGAGGGGGGGTGGTAGGAGCAAGTGGCAGACGCAGACCAGACACGGAACATTTATTTCGGGGGAGCGCGCTCGCGCACGTCTGTGTGGGTGTGAGTGACGAGTTTGATGCACCCCGGAAAAACATGCGACGCGTGGAAAATTTGCGGAGGCGTCGGAAGGGGACCGGGGATGGAGTGTCTGGACTAAAATCGACAGCGGTATGGGAAGTTTTGATGAGGTTCCTGGCCTGGTCTGGCCCGGCGTTGGATTTTGTGCATGGATGGGGCATTAACGAGAGGGAGACATAAGATTGGCCGCTCACTCGTGGACAATCGGCTGGAGATTGGAGTTTAGTGACAGTAATTAATTGGATTTTCCTGTTTTGGGCGTGAAATGAGTGGCTGATCAGTGCCGCTGTTCTATTTGGGGAATGGGTCAAAATCGATAAGTCTGCAATCAGGATTCTGTGTGTGCAGTTGGAAAGTATTGACTCGCTTGCAAATTTTGGTTTCTGAAACTAAGTTATGATGGGCTAACTAATGCAATAAAGGGGAAAACAAATTTCCAAAAAATTACATGGACGATTGTTTATGCGGAAGAAGGAGGGGGCTTAAAATCTTTTAAAATCGGTCTACTTTGTTCATGAACAGTCCATAGTTTGCTCAAATATGAGTATAACTGTAAAATTTCCCCCAGTAACCAAAATTGGTAGTTTTATAAGGTTATCTAAAGTTTTGGTAAATGAATTGCCTAAATTACAGAGTTGTTTCAAAATCACAATTTTTAATTAGTAAAATCCGTGGCTCAATATTTTTGCATACGCATGAAAAATATATGAATTCAAGATAGCACTCATTAATTTTTAAAATAGCCCCAATCGAATAGCTTTACTTAAAAATCAATTATATTCGGGAACCATGTTACAGTTGCTGTAAACCTATGGAGACGCATGATAGTCTAGTCACATAGGAGTATTGAGCGAAAACCCAAAACTTGATAACTGCAAAAAAAAACTCAAAAACGCAAAATATAAAAACATATTGCGGCCTCTGTCTACATACCATTAAAACCATAATCAATGTTTTTCAATATAAAATAAAATTTTGTCAATATCATTATATTTTTTTTCTCAAAATTATTTTTAATTACCTTCATGTTTTGATCTTTGAAATCGGCCCTGTTGTTCAAAAGTTATGAATTTTTGAAAACAGTCATTTTTGACAAAATATATTTTTTGGACCACCCTAACATGGAAATGGTCACCCTAATGACAAAATAAAAAAAATACGGATCTAATATTTTGCAATAAGGAATTAAACTACCTATTTTTTACGAAATTCTGAGAACCACTATATCGTTTTGCTATGGAATGGTAACGGTCAAAAAGATCAAAATGCTGAATCACTTTTAGTGGATAAAAAATATAAATAAAAAAAAAGTAGGAAAGGCAATATGCTGAGCAAAGCAAGTAAATTAAACGTAGACTTTGAGCAATCTTACTGAAATGCCCGAAAGTTGTTTCTCGCTCTTATAGATGACTTCTTATTTGAAACATGAGTAGCTCATTGACAGATAAAAGCAATTGAAAATTTTAGTCGTTATTTCGTCCATTTGACCATTTGTCCCTTCGAACTTTTGTCCAGTTTGTGATGAACTAGTCTAAACGACTTAAAATCACTTTAATATAGTAAAAAAAAAACAAAAACCTTTGTCCATTTGACCTTTCGATCCTTTAAATTTAATTCGACCTTTGGTCACTTCGACGTTTGGTCACTTCGACCTTTGGTCACTTCGACCTTTGGTCACTTCGACCTTTGGTCACTTCGACCTTTGGTCACTTCGACCTTTGGTCACTTCGACCTTTGGTCACTTCGACCTTTGGTCACTTCGACCTTTGGTCACTTCGACCTTTGGTCACTTCGACCTTTGGTCACTTCGACCTTTGGTCACTTCGACCTTTGGTCACTTCGACCTTTGGTCACTTCGACCTTTGGTCACTTCGACCTTTGGTCACTTCGACCTTTGGTCACTTCGACCTTTGGTCACTTCGACCTTTGGTCACTTCGACCTTTGGTTACTTCGACCTTTGGTCACTTCGACCTTTGGTTACTTTGACCTTTGGTCAATTCGACCTTTGGTCACTTCGACCTTTGGTCACTTCGATCTTTGGTCACTTCGATCTTTGGTCAATTCGACCTTTGGTGAACTGGACATTTTTTTCCATTTGATGTTTTATCCATTTAGACCATTTGTTCATTCGACCTTTTGTAGATTTCAACTTTTTGATCATTCCACTTTTGATCGTTTTAAATTTCATTCGATCCTTTATCCATTTGACGTATTGTCCATTCGACGTATTGTTCATTTGACCTTTTGCCCATTAGACCTTATGTTCACTCGAACTCTTATCCATTTTGACCAAATGTCCGGTTGGATGTCGTCCATTTTAAGCCTTAGACCATCCCAACTTTGGTCCTTTTAAATTTCATGCGACCCTTTATCGATTCAACATTTTGTTCATTCGTCCTTTTGTCTCTTTAAACATTGTTCGTACTTTTGTCCATTGAATGTTTTTTCCATTCGACCATTCGTCCATTTCAACCGTTTGACCATCCAACCTTTTTCCCTTTTAAATTTCATTCGACCTCTGGTCCATTCGACTTTTTGTTATGATCTTATGTCCATTCGAAGTCAATTTGGACCATTTTTCCATTCGATATTTCATTCATTTTGTCCTTTTAAATTCGATTCGCCTTTTTATCCATTTGATATTTGGTTCATTCGAAATTTTGCCCCTTTAAATTGCATTTGGCCTGTTTTCCATTCTAGGTTTTGTTCATCCGGCCTTTTGCTCCTTTAAATTTCATTCGACCTCTGGTCCATTTAACATTTTGTCCATTTGACCTTTGACCCATTCGACTTTTTGTCCATTAGACCTTATGTCCATTCGAAGTCATTTGATATTTCGACCGACCGACATCTTTTAAATTACATTCGCCTTTTTGTCCATTCTAAATTTTGTTCATTCGGCCTTTTGCTCTTTTAAATTTCATTGTCCATTCGACCTTATGTCCATTCGAAGTCCATTTAGACAATTTTTCCATTCGACCCTTTGTCCATTTCAACTTTTTGACCGTCCAACCTTTTGCCCTTTTGTATTTCATACGACCTTTTGTCCATTCGACGTTAAGTTCACTCGGTTTTTTGCTCAATTAAATTCATTCGAACTTTTGTCCATTTAACGTTTTGTCCATTTGACTTTTGGTCCAATCGATCTTTTGACCAATAGACCTTATGTCCATTCGAAGTCAATTTGGACCATTTTTTCCATTTGATATTTCGTTCATTGCAACCTTTCGACCATCTGTCCTTTTAAATTCCATTCGACATTTGGTGTAATCGAAATTTTGCCCCCTTGAATTTCATTTGGCCTTTGTTAATTCGGCCTTTTTCTCCTTTCAATTTCATTCGACTTTTGGTTCATTAGATCTTATTGGAAGTCAATTTTGACCATTAGATATTTCGTTCATTTCAACCTTTCGACCATCGCCTTTTTGTCCATTCGACATTTTATTCATTCAGAATTTTTCCACCTTAAATTTCATTTGACCTTCTGTCCATTCAAAATTTTGTTC